AAGTATCATTCCAGACTGAATTATATCTGAAACTGTACCTTATTTGTTTCACTAATCCTGTGAAATACCATTTTCTTACTACCGTTAAGAACTTAAAGTATCTATCACATAGACATTTCACTATAGCGTTATTTAATTTCCCGTATGTTGGAGTTACTGAACAATATTTTGATGACAAAAAATTAACTTAGTTGACAATCCCTGTGTTATCTGTTAACAGTTTAATATCCGGTGTTTAAAGTTATTACAAAGTATTCTTATATCCTCTTTGTCAAGAATTATGATTTAATAAATTTTGTATGATACTTATCCCTTTTTCTTTTTCTTTTTTTTCTTTTGACTCGTTTGACGCATGATGCAACATTTACTTATTATTAATCTGTCTACTCTCTCTCCATTGTAGCTTCAATCCACCTCTCTTCAGTTGTCTCTTTTTCGCTGTTTTAAAATGTCATTAATTAGACGTTAATTTCCGTGTTAATCCGTCTATTTAATATTCAACTAATCCATTTCTGAAATGAATCACTCTACTAACTAAACAGTTGTTAGTCACCTGGAAATAGCACTTATTAACTTGAAATTAGCAAAGAATTATAGTTCGAATCTCAGAAGGGATATGAGTTCCTTCAAGTTTGCAGATACGCCTTGCTGATGAGTGCCAACTAGCACGAAACCTAGGTTCAAGGCTTCCTGCCGATTGCCTCCAACTATCTAATATCAAATCAATGTGTACCGTGATGGCGAGCTACCTAGAATGGTGGCCACATTGCAAATACCTGACTGATAGAATTCAGTCTGTACCAAAGAAGGACTAGATACGTCACACTAGTTTCTAGTGTCCAATCAAAATATAGTTTATAGTTTTCAAAGATCAGGTTAAATCACTCATCTAAGATCCAGATACTTTTATGAATTCAATTCGACTCTAAAAGCGTACAAAACGAGAGGTTATACGCTAATATGCAACTAACATAAATTATTGACAGCAGCAACTAGTATGAGTCAAAGAGTGACATATTTTATCCACACACACACGAGCACACACGTCTGTTCATTTACCATCTGAAGCGATCATGATAGCGTTTTGTTTGCCTTAACCTTTAGATTGTATTATAGAAAAGAAATGTTGCATCCAGCAACTACCTATAAATAACAAAAATACATCATTTTATAGCTTATTAAGTGTGAATACACGACTTAAAATTCATAGAACTTGCTCAACGAATTTCTCCATTGAATATTTAACATTCACATTAAATTTTTTAGACAAGAAATCAAAAGACAATATAATCACTTCAAAATTTATCTGATTTAGTCAGAATAAACTTTAAGAAGAATACGTGTCACTTAGTCAATCAGTAGCCTTCAGAATGGCAAAATTTCTTCTAGCTTAGATCACCTTGGTCTTATTGTTCAAAGAATATATTCTCCGGTAATCTCATATACACATACCTAATCTCTTTGTCACAATTTATTCAAGCGAACCTTTTACTTCATAACCATTTAATAGTTATCAATAACTTTTAAACGTTTTTATATTTCTAGTTCATAGAGTGTAAGTTTCAATTCCTTTGATCAGAAAGGCGTGAAAATGCTACTATTAAAAGGATATTTGATGATATAAAACAATCTATAAAGCTTGAAAAACTTTAGTTCCAGATAAATTCTACTATACCTTGAAGACTTTGATTGAATAGCAAATTTCTAAAATAACCTAGTGAGGTGAATTACCAAATTATCTTCATTCTCATATTGCCATCACAGAACAAAATAGTTTTCCTACTTCTGTCTGACTTCAATAAATTTTAAAATGAGAGTGAATATTACTTTATGGCTTCACTGATAATAACTGCTCAAAATGTTAGATGAAATTTTCATGAACATATTTATTAGCTATCACGAAGAATCTATCCTTACAACAGTTAGCATAAAACATGAATGTAAAGTCATATATGAACTATAAGTAGGTAGGTAATACTGGTCATTGTTGAAGTTAACTTGTATTTCTTGTTGACTGATAATATCGAATGGAAATACTCGGTCACTTTTGACACAGCCTGTCCTAATACGGATGCTTCGATGATACTTGTTCCAACTTACAATCGTTTAGGTGATCCAGTGTTGAAAGTAACCGACCACAAATCATCCGCTTAGGTTCAAAGTATTTCTGTACATGTAGGCATGTGGTACACGTAGATTTTTTTTTTTCCCAACTATTCAACATTAAATAAAATATAAACCAGTGAGAGGCAGCTTGTTTTGACGATCAAACTGCGATGAAGACCTGAAAATACAGAGAACCCTCATTACACACATTTTAAACTAACCAATTTCCGTTGTGAATGACTACGAAAACTTACATACATCCCAGTTTTAACTTCTAAAACAACACCTAACCACCGACAAAGAGGACCTCCCTACTAAATCAAAATTCATGTTTATTCGTTTGTGAAGACAAATAATCACGTTTTGCATACAATACTGCGTATCTGAAACCTAACCAGAAAAAAATTGACATATCCCCCCCTGTTTTATCCTTTCTTGGGGAGGAGAATGATGAAGGTGATTGCAAGTGTCGGGAAATATATTTTATGGCTTGCAAATATATATATATATATATTATATATGACAAGTTACGGTCCACAGAAATGTATAAAAGTATCATTTTATGCAGCTATATAAAAAATTTTATGATGTTCATCAAGTGTCAGTGGCTATCTTTCTCCACCACCTCATTTATTTGAAAGCGCGTGGAACTAATTACACATACATATATAGACAGTTCCACACATCACCGTGCTTTTATTCAGTCATTTTAACACCTATCGTGTGTGTATGTGTATGCATGTATGTCAGTGTGTTGGTGCATACACTTGTATGTACATATATGTGCATGCATATAAAGTTGTAAAAATTCTCTTCTATTTTGGTTAAAAATAGAATTAAGCTGTCAGATTATATAATTAATATGACAGGAATTTTATAATTAAGTGGTTACATTATAAAAAAATGATAATAATAAAGGGTTGAACTCAGTTCCCTTGACATGTTTCTACAATGACTTTATTTTTGTAGTGTTCTTGAAATAAAATACTTACTTACATAAAATATGTTGAAGAAATTCATGATTGGAACACCTGGATAAAAAAAAGCCTGAAAATGAAATTGTTTTCAGCATTTCCCCTGAATTCACTGTCAGCCACTTACATGTTGATTTTTAATTATAAATTCATTTTTAAGTGTCAGCTAACGCATTCTCTAAGAAGCATAAGTTAGGAAAAACATATATATCTCAAAGAACAGCAAACCGAAGGTACTTATAGTTCTGAACTGAAACTGCTGTATTTCAATAAGTTGTCGTGAATTTGTATTCATCTGTGATTCTGACACTAGATTCTTACGAGTTGATCATGGGTTGTTATCAGTTGGAGAACCATTGAAAACCAGCTGCGAGTACTACCAGACAGCTGTTTCATCCTAGTTTCAGAATAATCGGCAGTACACACCCACCGCCAGGGTTCGACACCCAGAACCTTCCAGTTACAAGACAAGCTAGCTCATATAGCATTCAGTTACTGGGACCTGATTCAATGGCCACCCCATGAATTCTAACTTCTACCAATTCATGATTTAGCACGACCACCAACCACTGTCATTGGTGGGACATCCATCCTCACACTTGACTGGATGGACCTCACTGGTCACGACTTCTCACTAGAACTCCTGGAAAATCCGTCCTGTAGCAAGTCACTTCATAGTCTCCAGCTTTCTGAAGCATTCTAAACAGTCTTTTGTTAGAGGGCAGAAATTAGGCAGCAAATTTATGTTTGTTGAATAGCCAGACAAACAAATGTTCACCTAAAAGATCCATTTCAAGTAACAATAAACATGAAATAGACTTTTTCATATAGTTTTAAAATAATTGTTGATCTGTAAGGCAAAGCTGTTTCACTGAAAGTTATCAATTACTGAAAGAAATATTTGTTGTCAATTACCATAAATGCTGGAATGACAAGTAACGAAATTTTTCGGAATGTTACATTCTCACGCCGTCTTTTTGATTGTTAGATTTGTATTGAACACTTATATCGACTGTTTATTCAAATATTATTATTATTGTCTCATAACTAAACACCATCTGACGTACTACACTAGCACCATGGGTATGAAGATATGTCTCTGTAACTGCCTACAGGTATATTAACTAAGTCTAATCTTCTTTATGACAGTTCTCTGTTTCTCCTTCAATTACTATCGGGTAATAAGTGGAAAATCAACAAAATTCATGGAACACTTAAATCCCTTGTTCGCAAGCAACATCAGTACTTTATATGCTAAAGAGATTACTGTTCTACTAAGTATGATGCAACTTACACAATTTGTCCACGCTAGAATACTTACTATTCATCAATGTAACTCGATTGCACAGATGTTTTCGGCTTGTAACTAATACTATCAGTGAACCGACTAGCTTTGTAAAAGCAACAGATGGAGAGAAAAAAGACAGAGTAGAATTCTTATTTTTCTATAATCTCATTCACTTTATTGTTACTGCTTTTTGACAAATATCTAAATCAAATCAACTTGAGAAAAAAAATCAAAAGTGCATTAAATCAGAAGAGAATGATTGAGTGTACAATGAGTCATTTGTACTAAATCTCAGGAATTATTCATTCAGAGCATATATATATAATTATTAAATTACTTGTACACTGTCACCTCGTTTATTTAAATGTCAGGGCATAAAGTAATAACAGAAGGGGAAAATTAGACTGGAGTAAACAAAATGTAACAAATGACAATGAAAGGAGAGGAAGAAGAAAACAGTTTTCATTTCATCATACACCAATCCTTTTTTGCTTTATTAGCAGCATAAGCAGTCATATTATAACTAGTGAAAACAATACATCATATTTCTTCCCTAGAAGATAGTTCGTACTGTTCGTAAACACAAGTAGGAAACACTGACATAAAACGGTGTTATATCTGAGTTTCAATTTTCTGTGCAAAAGCAAATAATGAGAGTTATTCTGTTGCAAAGCCAGATCACAGTTTTATTATAATTTAGATTTATTAATTGAGAATACTTGGTGATAATGATACAGTCTGCTCTTATATCAGTGAACTACTGATTATGCGAAAATGACAGTTCCAATCTTTTATTCTGGCTTTGCATTTGTTTACATGAATTAACTAACAAACGAGTATTGGCGCTGGGAACTTGTGTGTGGTATTGGTTAAGACTGTTTATCAGTTACATTTTTTATTGCCTTGTATTCATGTTACAGCATTAAAGTGAAAGTAGGTACGCTTGTGAGTAATATGCTTCACCCATCTGAGTAGTATCACATTTAAGGCAGCTTCACTCCTCTTCGTTCTCGTGTTCCCCGTCAACCTCTTCTTCTTCTTCGTCTTCGTCTTCTTCTTCTCCTGCTTCCCCGCAATGACCTTCTAACCTCCTTAAATTATCGATGATCGAAAGTTTACCATTTGAATATGTTGTTTCATTTGACCCACCCATTCCCACCATGGTTTCTCCCATAAGTGGAGGATGTCCATCACAAGGATGTGCTTGTGACTGATGTTGAGAAACATCTAATTTTTTACACAAAAAATTCATATCACTCTGTACTTTTGTTATTGTCTCAGAGGGTGCAAGTGCTGATCCATCTGACCTAATTGTTGAATTTGCTGGTGATGAATGCATCTGAACAGAATAGTCATGAGGATGCTGATGATGTAGCTGACAGTTTGCGTCTACATTCATATGCGACCATTGTGAGACTAATACACTGCCTTCATTTTCTTTAGAGCATTCATTGTACATTGGATACTTTGGAGTTTTGTAATTCACTACCTTATTAACATTTTCTTGATAGACTGATGTATATGTTTGTTCTGGATATTCTTGCTGCTGTTGTTGTTGTTGCTTCTGTAATTCTGTTGTCCATACGTCATACGGTAGTTGAGTTATGTCTGTAGGTAACATAGACTTTAAATTATGCTGATTGTAATTGCTAAAGTAACAGTCTGTACTGTTTGTTAAATGTTCAGACATTGTCTGAGATTTGAACACAGAATTGTGTGAATTAATGTTATTATTACTATTATCATTCCCACACATGATAGTGTTGTCATGGTGGAGGGTGTTAGTAGTGTTCCACCGACGTGTACGTTTTTGGGGTGGATCATCATTACTTCTACCTGATATTTTTGATATGTACTCACTACGGTAGTATTCATTCATTCTGTTCTTTGTGTCATTCTCATAACTAATCATAGTTTTAGCAGTCGGTTGCACTGGTGGTAACAGTTGAGCTTGTTGTTGTTGTTGTTGTAGTGGTGGTGGTGTATTCGTCACCACACGATTTGTTTTTGCTTGTTGATGCTGACCGACAGTATCTTCGTACATTAATGGATCATTTAATAAACAGTACTCACTAAATTCAAGTTCTCTAAATGTTTTGGAAAAAAAATAATAAATGTTAAGAAATGAGCAATTAGTTATATGCAAAGTAAATTATTAAACATTGTGAAGTCATAGATTTTCACATAGTTTTGCAATTGTTTCTTCACATTTATGCATTAAAAATGAAATCATGCGATATCTGTTTGCTTACTGACCAACCCAGAAGAATTTAAGCGTAAACTTGTAAAGCCAGAAAAATCTTCACTTGCAGCTAAAAATGATGAAATAAACAATAAATTCTCTTGACTTTAATCCCCTACCATAAACGAACCTTTTCAACATATACTCAACGAGAATTGTACTCACACTTATGTATGCCTAATTCATACATCCATCACTTCACTTATCCAGCTGATTGTTACTTTAATAAAAGTGATAGCACTAAATAGTGCGATGCCAATAATAACAGACTACGTTTAAGGCGAAGTTATCTGGGAGAATTTTGGATCGGCAGACTGGCATTGCTGTGGTCAGTAATATTTGAGGATGACATGAAAACCTAGGTCACGGTAGGTTTCGAACAGGTGGATGTTCCATAGCTTAGCTGCTTGTTCGAATTCTATCATGACAGAAGTTTTTATCTCAACTTTATCAGTTAAACTTAAAATAAATGAAGAACTTTCACTATAACAAAATGTGATACTTACGACAGAAGATAATTCACGCTGACGATGCAGTTAGGTCGTGATGATCTGCTATTGTGAACTATAGTGGCATACGATTGTATCCATATCCAACCTCCAGATTTATTCAGTAGACGATAATATGGAGTTGTCACTTGACCTTTAGTCAAAACTGAAATTAAACAGAAAGATGACCATTGAATATACTAACCTAAAACAGAAAGACACAGTGAAAATGATTTGAATGTGCATAACTACGGTTATGGAAACCGAGATTGCCATAGCCATAATGATTTCAAGGAGTTAACGTTGTTTTACAAGTTTTTTATTTTATTTTTTATTCCTTCACGTTCCCAGTGGATCATAGGGCTTCAAGCTAAAGGCTTGAAGTTTCTTTAACAGTGTTTTTATTTTCACAGGATGAGTTTGGTAGCTTCATGCACAACCTTTCCCATTTACCAGCTTTATTTCTGGCTTAGCGAGGTAAGGGGAGTGCGTCAGCCGGGGATCGAACCGCAGACCATGTACATGGTCGGCGAGCGTCCTAACCGCTATGCCACCGACGCACTTTACAAGACTTTAAGTGACACTTTCCCTTAAAAAAAAACTGTTACCATAATGAAATCAGTGTGAATGACTAACAGGTGTTTAATACCACAGAGTTTATGTGGTATTTAATAACTAACCAGCCCCTTTATAAAAATGGCTAGTCGAAGATAATAACAGTTCAGCTGGATATCATTAAAAGTGCAAAAGGATTACTTTAATCTGAACAACGTGTTTTCAGCTTTAGTCAGTGTTGGTAAATTAGTCTACTTGGCCTAATTAGCTTACAAACTTAGAAATTATCAAACAACTGATAATAACCAGAACTACACTTGAAAATTATACTGTTTATGGAAGAACAGTAGATAGCAGTTAATAATAATAATTTTTATTATTATCATCATCATCATACACTAAGTAATTTCTATGATCCCCTTTCACTACACTTTTTTGTTATCTTCCCATTTCATTGAATAAATTAAGTTATACCACACCACAAATACGTTATACCACAAGTTTCCATAACAATTTTTGGAAAAGAACTACATTTTAGATGTTTTTAAGTGAATACACTTCCAACTTAGAACACTTTTATCACAAAGTGTTTGTATCATGTAATGTGTACATGAACACCATCACATTCTACTAGATTATTAACGAATTCATTGTTATCCATTAGTGAAACAGTCACTTACGTATTTCATGAGAATGCTTTAATGATCCAACATCTGCAGCATGAACCAGTTGGTAAAGTGTTTTATCCACCAATTCCTGCGGTTGGAAACCAGTTATCTGAGTAATTCTTTATTTGACAAAAAGAAAGAAAACAGTTGAAGACAGAAATGAAAAAGACTGACTATATTAACTTTATATAGTTGAAAGACGCTTATTCAACAGCATATCTCAAGGTAGAATTACCTTTTATAACATAAAGTAAACTTGAACTAAGCATGAAAAGATTGTGGCAAAAGTAGAGATATTCACCAGGTAGCTTCTACCATAATCAAATTGAAAAGGAACTATGAAACTCACTCTTATATCCAGGGTCTTTTAAACATTTTAATATTGGAAAAGTATTATAGATATGTAAATTCTTTGTTTATGACAGATTGGAGCAAGCAGGCATTCCCATTATCCGTCATAATCAACGAGTGAGTTATATTAAACTGTAATCATGAATCAAGGCAACTGTTATTTAACTCGCATTCCTGTCTGCCGGAACGCTTATGTGTTGTAGACTCTATTAAGAGTCCTTAAAGTATTTTAACAGTTTCAACATAGAAATCCAATGACACAATGCTACAGAATAACGGTGCGAGTAACAGGATCAGATATTTTATTTGTTCAAATGTTAGAAGTACTAAAGGTACTTTCAAACCTTAAGCTGTGTGGTATTCAGAATGATCTGTGTCTGATTAAAATATGACTGTAGGCAACAGTAGCAAACAAGAACTGGTCGATACTGTGATGATGAGTGGTGCATATAATGGCAGGAAAATATCTGCTCAAATGACCTCATACGTTTCACAAAGAAATTCGAATCAAAAATTTAGGGTCGAAAGAAATCAGTGTTAAACTTCAAACAATAGATCAATATTTCCAATAACACAGGGTGTTTCAAGTTCCAACTTTGTAAACACCTTACACATAAGTGTGAGAGAGTATGAAATGATGTAAGCATATTAAACTATTACTTTGAGACGCTTACAGTATTGACAAAAAAGTAGAAGAAATATGCTAAATAGTCAATTTTTAATAAGAAATGCTAGTGCGTTACTATTACTCTGCTTCAAAATTTTATCCATCTTTGCTTACCTGCCTTCCAAAAATATTAGTTTCAAGTCTAAACTGGCACGAAACATAAACATATCCATGCTTAAACGTATTTCTGTGTTGTTTGTATTCGGCGACGGGATTGCGTAAGCAAATGATATTAGGCCTAAATTTTGATAGTACTGATAGCCTTCTAAGTGAATGACACGAACACGCAAATGTCCATTACAGTGTATCACCTGAAAACATATTAGGAGAAAAAGAGTCATACAGCAAACAATAAAGGTAAGAAAAGAAAACAACTAGTGAAGTTACTTCTCTCAAATCCACTGAAACTAAACTGTCATATATATAAGCTGGATTTCTTTGATTTGAAGCATTTCATTAAACCTCGGAGTGAAAGTATACAACACCATATGTTACTTCAGTGGATTCAACTTGTTTCAGAGGTGTATCTGTTTTAACAGAAATCTTGTAAATCCATTCACACTTAAATTTAGGCATTATTCTTACAGTACTTATTAAAATATTTGCTTCTTGTGTTACGTCGTCGAAATGGGCATAGTGCTTTTCTAGACCAATGAAAAAGTAAGTATGTGTGCAACACAATAAAACATTTAGCTGGGAAAACCATCTCTCAATTCAAAATTAATTCTAATGGCAGATGAGCATTCACCGTTAACCACCTGATTTGAATTCTTTCGCTGAATATTACCACTTGTAAGTTATGTGACACCGCTAAACTGATTCCAAGTTGAATAAGAGAACTGCGTGAAATGCACACAGAAAAATTAATCATAGGAAAATTAGACGGACAGACAAAGTACACTTGACCATAACAGTTATTCACAAATAATTCTTAATGAATAGCCCAGCTGTTTAGCACTGGCTCGAACACATCCTCCTTTTAGTCACAAGCAAACTCATTTAACATAAAGCGAGACTTTAATAAATAAATATTAACAAGAAAGAAGATAGTTAAGCAAATAAAATGCATGGTACATTTGCGTAGTATTCATAAATTTTCGATTACTTCCAGAAGGGATAAGAAACAAAGTCAGATGAAATTACTGCCTGCCAAGCCTTGTACGCAGAACGAACTTAAAGATATTCTGATAGTCATTCACCTGGTTATCTATCCTCAGACTATTTATTAAGTAGCATAAATACTAAATAAATATTTACTACGATAACAGAAATGAACTTTTCTATAGTTGGTTTATAAGAATTAGATTTGTTTTTAGTAGTTGCCCACGGATTGATATCAGTTAAAGAACCATTGAAAACCAGCTGCGAGTACTGACAGACGGCTGGTTTCCAATGGTTCTTTAACTGATATCAATCCGTGGGCAACTAGTAAAAACAAATCTAATTCTTATAAACCAATTATGGAAAATTGATCTGATGCTCGCTAGTGACTTGCTACAGGGCGGAGTTTCCAGAAGTTCTAGTGAGAAGTCGTGACCAGTGAGGTCCATCCAGTCAAGTGTGAGGATGGATGTCCCACCAAGGACGACAGTGGTTGGTGGTCGTGCTAAATCACGAATTGGTAGAAGTTAGAATTCATGGGGTGGCCATTGAATCAGGTCCCAGTGACTGAATGCTATACGAGCTAGGTTGTCTTGTAACCGGAAGGTCCTGGGTGTGGAACCCTGGCAGTGGGTGTGTACTGCCAATGATTCTAAAACTAGGATGAAACAGCTGTCTGGCAGTACTCGCAGCTGGTTTTCAATGGTTCTCTAAGTGATACCAATCCGAGGTCAACTCGTAAAAAGAAATAAACTTACTTTGAAACCTGCAGTAGTTAACCCAGCATTTCTTTTGGCCAAAACGCATTTTACGCGTAGGAAAAAACTACGTTCAAGTGTGAATTCTGGAAGTTTTGAAAATAACAGTAAAAGAGAAAATTTAATTATTATATATATATATATATATATATATATTCAACCTTATTAATTAATTACTATAAATTAAAGACCGCTGGAAGTTAAGCAATTATTTGAAACCATAAGGAACTGGAAAGATGTTCGGTCTAGTTCTTGGATACTTTGACTGTACTCTTACAAGACTACCTTCTTAGTTGTTGAACTGTTCTGTTGACTTGACTTTTCAACATTTACCACCCGAATCGTGCTCAAACTCACCTCTTTCGAAGAAAACCTCACGTTAGTTGGTTATCAATTCACGAACATTTTATTTAACCTTTGGATGGTTCAAAGATGACTAGGTGAGATAGTATAATCAATCTATGAGGAACAGATACATTAGTCTAACTCATGATAATATTTACTTTACAGTGAATGATAACCGAATTGAAGTAGTTCTCACTGCTGTTGCTGTTTTTTTTTCTATTCCTGGTCACATTATAAACCATGAAAAAAAAAGAGTGGATAGATTTCTCTCTAAAAAGTCACGTAGGTTACACTTGAAAAAGAAAGATTATTTAAAGTTGGATTCATTATTTTTCTTTTAGTTTTGAAAAGACCAATATGAAAGAATAACAACGGGAGAAGAATTACACCTTCACAATCTTCCTGCTTCCAATCTGTCTTTCTCTCATTTCACCTACTATCTACCACCCTTCGAGTAAATTACTACAATAACAACACTTCCCGCCTCTTCTTCCTTCCTCTCTACCTTTCTCTCTCTCAAGTTTAATAAGTAAACTATTTTTAAATTAACGGTGAAATTTCTCTCTGCTTCTTCCTTATCTTTTTCACCAGAAAGAAAACATTGCTGATAAATTCTCTTTTTTTCGAATAGAAATGGAACAATGGAGTAAAACGTGAAAACAGTATGGATAACACTTTTAGAAGATCGAAGCGAAGACAGAGAGAGAGAGACTCGAAGGCGGGGGGAGGCAAAATTATCAAAAGTGCATTAAACTTTAAAAATATATACTCAAGTGATAAATTAGTGGAAAGAGGAAGACTGCATAGAATAGGGAGGGAGAGCGAGCCAGCGAGCGAGCGAGCGAGAGGGAGTGATGATGATGGTGATATCAGAAGAAATCTAGATACACACTGAATCCAGCTGTGTAAATACACTTTTTTTCTCTTGTGTTAGGAAACTTGTTACGTGTACACAATGAGGAAGCAGTGACTGAGAACAAAACTGATCACTGCTAATGGATAGGGGGTTAGAAAAATGAAAGATACAAAGTCAAGAGGGTGGTGGTTGTGATATTAAAAAAAAAACACAAATAAGACGGGGGGTTGGGCAAGAGGACATTATGAATGTTTCTAAACAGTAGCCATTTATTTGTAAGAAATTCCTCAGTGCAACTTTCCGTTAGTGTTCATCCATTTGTTTATATATGCGCGTCTGCCTAGTCTGCATATTCGTTTGTTTGTCAAAAAAAAAAGCATATTTCGACGGTATAACAAAAATACTCACTTTATATTCGCAAGCTTAATTTAAACAATTTTTTTTTCTGAATTATCAATGGAATGAATGTAATTTATCTTCACCTATGAAAACAAACTTTAGGGGGACTTTTTTCACCATCATTAAGCCAAGTTATCATACTTTATTTTTGCTTATAAAAACTTTTGACAAATTTAAGGGAAATTGAGCTCAAAGAGGGAGAGAGAGAGAATTTCGATCACTGCTCAGTTTGTAGTCATATTTTGAGAAAAGAAATATATTGAAACGGTGAGTTAATGCATCAGTGATTATTACTTGTTCGTTATAAGGAATCTATGGCTCATAGCCCTTAAATACGCAGTAGATCTGAGTACAGATCAAGTCCTGTGTGATATCTCTCACTTTTATTATTTGATTCCACACCATATTTTTGGTACAAGTATGGAATTTTCAGCATGTGATATCAGTAGCCCAAATGTTGCAGGCCAACCATTGATATCATGTGTGCGTCGGCAGGGGATCGAACCCCGGACCATGTGAATGGTCGGTGAGAGTCCTAACCGCTGTGCCACCGACGCACTTGTCACTTTAATCAAAGACACAGAGTATAACTGATCTACAGAGACTAGTCGGTTAAGATACTCAAAGAGGACGTCATCAGTTCTGGCCAGGATTAAACTTGACACATAGTTATAATTTACAAGAGAACCACTGTCATGTAACTGTTAACGATGAGAGAAATACAATTAGATGATATTGTCAGTATTGAACTACGTTCATACATTAGGCAAAGAGGTTTTCATTACTACACACTGTCACCAGATCGACAGACAGTAAAAGTTCCTTAAATTAAATTTCGTCTCTAGTTCAAATCAGTATTGTCCTATTAACTTAGTAAAGTCAGTCTTTATTATGTTTTAAACTGGTGAGAATTAATCCCTTATGACAAACAATTAATCCTTTCATTTATCCCTTTTTACTACTTGGCAATATTTCTTTGTCTACTTTCACCTGCAGCCAATGTCATCAACGAGTATTCATCTTCTCATCCGACTTGTTGGACTCCAACCAGTGACTGTTTCTCAATACAACCTCAGGAAATCCATTGCATAGTCAGTCACAATAGGCAGTAGATTAACTTTCAAGCGTTTATGTTTTGGTGGTAAATTGTCATGGATCAAGTCAGCAGAGATATCTCTGTTTTCATCGAAGCGCTACAGTTATTTAGGAGTTTACATTTTTTTTATTCCTTCACGTTCCCAGTGGAACATAGGGCTTCAAGCTGGAGGCTTGAAGTTTCTGTAGCAGTGGTGATTACTTTTACAGGATGGGGTTGCTAGCTTCATTCCAAACCTTTCCTCTTTACCAGCTTTATTACTGGCTTAGCGAGGTAAGGGGAGTGCGTCGACCGGGGATCGAATCCCGGACCATGTGTATGGTCGGCGAGCGTCCTAACCGCCGTGCCACCGACGCACCATTTCGGAGTTTATTTGCACAATGCTAATTGCCAACAAGGGTTAGAGGTTGCTGTCGGTTGATAGCTTTTATAAAAAGTTCGAAAGAGACATCCTTTACTTATGTTTTCTTAATTCACACATCTTGAATGAAATTCAAGCAGATTTTTGTGGGAGGAATAACACCAGGAGGAAAGGGGCGGAGAAATCAATTACTCAGGTATCTAATCAACAATACTGTTTGATAACATGACCTATTTAATGGACTGAATAAAAGTATTTACTCTAAAGAAAATGTATGCCTACCTGACTGACCAGCATTTGCAGCTATCTCTGATGGATGGATGGTAAGTATTTGTTTTAATTCTTCATGGTCCAGTGGATGGAGATACTCGGTTATTTCATTCCCGGTCATTTCAACCTTTTTGAATAGACAAAAGAGATCAAATTTAGGAAACATGAATATTAAAGTTATGCCCTGCATTTATTTCATTTATTTAAGTGCTTTTATAAAGTAAATAGTTGAAATTCAGTGTTCAAAACTATCCACAACTGCATGAATCTCTTAGTAATTTGACAGTTGAAAGGTTAAAGAAAGGAATAAGTGCTATAATTAAAATAAGGTTATAAAAGAAGGAGAGGGAGAACAAATATGATTGCTGAGGGACTTATATAAAGAGATGAAAACCACTCACACGAAACAGCAGTGCTCGCCAGCCAGACTGAATTGATATAAACACTCGTTTAGAGATGAGCTTATCAACGGTTTACCCAGGTCAACTCAGCAGAGATAACCGAAGCATTTTAAACCACCCAAATTCTGGCTAGTTGGTACAGGATTTCATCATGAGCTGACATTGGTTAGAGAACCATTAAAACATGAGTACTGACAGCTGTACTCCCAGTTTGGGACTCTCCATCAGTACGCAACCACCACAAGGGTTCGAACCCATGACCTTCTGGTTACAAGGCGAGCTCGTATACCATTCAGCCACTGGGACCCGATCCAGCCAATTCACGATATAGCGTAACCGCTAGCCAATGTCTTCGGCGAGTATTTGTCCTCACACCCGACCTGCTGCACCCTACTGGCTAGTTGCTTGGGCAAAATAGTAATAAATAGAGTTAAACTCGTCATTTGCAAATTATACACTTCGAGATGAGAAATCGCCAATACTCTATGGGAACCAAAAACATTCACATCAAAATATGTCGTCTATCAAATAATAATAATAATAAATGTGAATCAGAAGAGGTTTCCCATGCATTGTACAGAATTTTTCCCTGTCTGGTTATCAGATGGTATTTCATAATTTAAGTTTTATTAAATATGTTCTTTTCTTCTAAATTTTTATAACATGGGATATCTTTTTGAAATATTCATTACACGTTACAAGCTCTTAGAAGTCAGATACCTACGAAACATAGATTCTTTCATCTCACTCCATACAAATCAGTATGATTAGGAATAAAATTTCTTAACAATGAAAAATACTAATACTACTACTAATAATAATAATAGTATTTGTAGACAATAAGTATTTCAAGAAGGAAATAGTATGTTTGCGTACCTGAGACAAACCCAACAGAACAGAAGCTGTTTCAGATATGTACAAAATTTTCCCCTCCTGAGATAAAATGAAGATGAAACCATCCATTGACTGTAAACAAAACAAAAAAAACAGTAACAACAATATAACAAACATATTAGCTGACTGAGCAACATAAAAGCAAATATCAAATTATATTTTTGAAAAGAGAAATTGAGGATTATTGAAAATTTGAATGTCTACGTAGTAGTGCAATAGTGTAGTGAAATTGTTTTCAACAGTCTTGTACTTCATGCTGTGACAAAGGTGATCGAAGCGACATGTTGTATGCGTCTCTTCCTTAAAGGATTACCGATAAGTATGGTGCTTAGATGTACTTGGAAGTATATTAACTCACTTTTTAAAATTTACCTATATCGCCGCTGACATAAACCTTATTGTAGACGTACAACCGGTTGTTTGCTGTTGATTTGCGCTGAAGAATTTTACTGTTATTACTAACTGACGATAATCGCCCCCCCCCATCTTACTTTAAATAAAAAATGAAGCATCTTTGAATATCCGTTTTAATCGGATGACAAAGTTAAGTAGAACAATCGTCAACAAATGAAATCAGGTAATAACTTCGTGTTTCTCAGCCCTTTTAGTAGAACACGTTTAGCATTGTTCTTCTCAGCACCAACGAAAGGAAATCGTAGAACTAAGTGATTTTGCCAAAATTACTCAAACTGAGTATGTTCTTTTGAATTTACTAATCTATGCCATTATTATGCTTAATTCGCCTACAGTCAAACTGATTAACCATATCATCGGTTAATTTCCAATTCAGCTTTACAGCTGGTCACTAAGGAAAAGGGATAAACATCTTCATTTTGAAACAAAAAACGAAAAGTTTCCGTTTACCTTACCATGATTTGTTTCAGATAACATTCTAGAAGTGAGAAGTGACTTTTATCTTATTTATTTGAGTTCCGAGTGGAATATAGGGCTTCAACCTTGAGCTTTGAAGTTTGGTTTGTTAGTCTCACATTCAGCCTTCCCTCCTTTCCCAGCTTAGTGGGGCTTAAAAGTGCGTCCTCTCGGGATCAAAACCCGAACCACATACGTAGTTGGCGAGTATCCCATCGCTGAACCACCGACCCAAGCATATATTTCCTCCCAGACATGAGCGAGGACTCCCAGGGACTAGGATTAATCGCTTTCAACATCATAACACTGTGAAACCTGAGGCGCACTGGTAAATCCCTTTAAAATGCGTAAGTGAGTAACTAAGTTGTGTTGGAAAGAAAAAAATAACTGAACACCCTGGTCTATCCCGATTGCCGCCTCTTGGATTACTGTTTCTCCGCACAGTTCCGCCTTTTTCTAGCCATTACATCGAACGAAACTGTTGTGCAGCTGACAAATTATGCAGTAATTTACCACTTAGATTATAGAATTTGAGGGGATTTTCGAATAATCACATCTGTTGGGCTGGCGCCCCTGAAGAATTTCGGAACAGGACGAAACAGTGGTCCAGTGCTCCCTGGTTTTCAACGACTTCTGTAAGTGATATTAGTTATGAAGGAAATCTAACAACTCTAATATACCACTTAGTCCTTAGTTCAGTCGACATGAATACATCTTGAAAACTTATCGCCTATTCTTGATAAGGAAATTTGCAAGGAAATGACTGACTGCTATAGATGTATGGAGGTGAAATAAAATCCTTAACTATTTTTTTTACAAAAAGTATACCTTGAAATAATGAATATTACATACTTTGAATATATTTGGAGCCAATTCTTTTTCCATTATATGATTCGAAATAGGATTAGAATAATTCCTGCTATCACCAAAGCCTAAAATTGAAAAATGCAATGGATCTGAATATTAAAACAATAGGCATTTGAATAAATAAACACATATTACAAATCATAGGCATAAACTGTTACACCCAAAAGCACTCTGTTAATACTGAAAGTGTTGTTCTTCTTTAACAGGGCATTTATACTCACTTCAGCATATTTAAGGGAATTCAGGCGAGGAGGAATGATTTCAATCCCCACCTACTACTGAACTAAACATGGATAATCTTTACACTAACTAGCTGTATTATATAATTCAATAAATTACTGGTTATTCAAGTATTGGTTTGTAGGGATTTGATTGATTGGTTACAAAATTTCATCATGAGCTGACATCGGTTAGAGAACCACTGGACAGTTGTTTCGTCCTTGTTTGGGACTCCTCAATCAGTCAAATTCCTACAAACCAATACTTGAATATTAGTGAGATGTTCACTAACGACTGGCCGTATTCAAGTAGGTAGTTATCTAGGGCTCTAGTAAAAAGTCGTGACCAGTAGGGTACAGCAGGTCGGGTGTGAGGACAAATACTCGCCGAAGACATTGGCTAGTTGTCGCGCTATGTCGTGAATTGGCAGAAGTTGGAATTCATGGAGTAGCCACTGGATCGGGTCCCAGTGACCTAATGGTCTACGAGCTCCATTTTCAGCCGAAAGGTTGTGGGTTCGAACCCTTGTGGTGGTTGTGTACTGATGGAGAGTCCGAAACTGGGAAGAAACAGCTGTCCACTACTCCCTGTTGGTTTTCCAATAGTTCTCTAACCGATGTCAGTTCCTGATGAAATCCTGTAACCAAATTATTGGTGAATCAGAGAATATGATTCTTAGATCAAACTAACTAAGCAATACAAATAGAGAAAAAGAGAAAGAAAGTAAAAAGACCTTCTCTAGTCTTTTACAATCTGTATAACTTCGTTAAAATATCTGGAATTCTCATTATCTGAAGTGTTTATAAATCACTCATCATAAAGTGTTCATTGTCTTTTATAGTCAATGTGTTAACAATATACATTCAGTTTATTACATTTAATTATCATATACATATACTAAACTTGTTTAACAGTTTCCCAAATAAGTATTCTACTGATTGTCAGATTAATTTTTATTGTGTATGGACGTCTGAACACACGTACAAGTCATAAATATTTTAATTTAATATTCTAATTAATTAACTGACCAGATAAATGACGAATTATTTGATTGCATAAAAAATTCCAGTGGATCTTATACATTCTTGACCTTTTTTTTACTCTTTTACATTCCCAGTGGGACATAGGGCTTCAAGCTAGAGGCTGGAAGTTTCGGTGGCAGTAGTATTTATTTTTACGGGATGGAGTTGTTAACCTCATGCTCAACCTTTCCTCATTACCAGTGCTATTACTGGCTTAACGAGGTTAAAGGAGTGCTTCTGTCGGGGACCGAACCCCAGACCATATGTATGGTCGGCGAGCATTCTACTTCTGTGCCACCGATGTAGACAAATACATTCTTGAGTGTGTAACAAATATGTTACATAAAAAACCTTAAGTAATCGGATCAGGGAAACAGTAAAACACCCTATGCATTCACTCAGAAAATTATCTGAATTTTTTTTTTGGGGGGGGGGGTTAGAGACAGGATTATTGTGCGAAATTTTTCTTACCTGAAGTTGGGTAGAGTTAATATTTATAGTGACTAATATAGTGTCATCATTATGTGTAAGAATTTTAGTAGAAATGTGAACTAAAGAGAACGTCAATTGAATATCAGAATACAATCAGAAATCTTCAATTAACTGATAAAGTAATTGACATTCACCCTAGAAAATCAACCAAACTGCTACAGAAAATTCAATGCGCAAAAAAATTTTTTTAAAGAAAACTTATTCTTCGCTAGGATCGGAGAGGTGGAATGACGTAAGATGGTGAAAGCCTTCGGGAAGTCAGTCAGCCGATGTGTCTTCTAACGATAAGAGCAAGAATAAGCATGGGGAAATAATATGTACGTACAGTGTACGAGGCTGAAAAGGCTGTCCAGGTAGCCAAAGAAATGTGAAGATAAGGTATGGAAGTGCTGGGTATCTGCGAGAGCAGATGGAATAGATGTGGACCATCGAAATTGTCAACTGTTTAGTCAGTAATCTACTTCGTTCTGGTTACACAGATGACAACCACAAACACACTGAAGCAATGAGTGGCTATCATGATGTCACCAGTGGCAGCCAGAGCCCTAATACAGCTGGAACCAATTTCATCCAGGATCATGACAGCAAGATTCAACTCAGAAGACAGGAAGGAAGGCTACAATTATCCAATGCATAGTGTTACAGACAAAACGGAACAAGAGAAAAAGGAAGATTTCTATAGACAACTACAAACAGTAATGGACAACATCCTAAATGGTGACATCAAAATCCTCATGAGATATGAATGCCAACTGAACTGGGAGCAGATAATGCAGGAAGAGAACTCATCATGGGTCGAGAGCCTCTCACCTGGAAAAATGAATAAGAAAGGAGAACTCTTCGCAGACTTTTGTGCATTCAATGATCTGGTGATTGGAGGAAGCGTGTACAAGCACAAGGATATACACAAAGCAACATGGATTTCGCCTTATGGACACACCACAAACCAGACAGATTTCATCTCAATGCTGCTCAAGGAAGAGGAGATGCAGCCTGCTAAACACAAAGTCGAGAAGGCGAACAACTGTGGGCTCAAACCTTCAGAACAACTGGAGACAGGCCACAATTCAAGTTCAACATTCAGAAACTGAAGGACAAAACTACAAGGGATGTCTTCACTACAGATCAGATCAGAGCAAAGTCGGAGACAAGTGTTATCACTGAGGAAAGCTGTGTGGAAAAACATTGAAACTCTTTGAAGGTGATGTTCAAGGAAACGTGTACTGTTCTAGGAAGAAAGAAGAGACAAGACGAGGAATGGCTCTCAACCGACACCTACCTGGAAGCTGAAAGAAGAGAGGAAGATGGTGAAAGGGGAAATGATGCAATGGAAAGATGCACAGCAGAAGGAGAAGCTGAGTTCAGTGTACACTGCACTGAATAAAAAAGAGAAGAGGAGGGCTAGAAAGGACAAACGACGATTCTACGACACACTGGCAACTGAAGCAGAACAGGCCTCAGGCAAAAGAGACATCAGGACACTATATCAGATAACCAAGTCTCTATCCGGGAAGAGATCAACCCAGATGATGAAACCAGTAAAAGATGCTCTAGGGAACCTGATCACCAAGGTGGCGAAACAAATAAAGCAATTGGCTGATCACTTTAGAGAACTCTTGAGTCGACCCTCACCTGCAGCTCGTCCAGAAATACCACCAACAGCACTCACAGAAGTGCCAATGGACATCAGTCCTCCAACGAAAGCAGAAATACTAAATGCGATCAAGCTACTGAACGCTGGATGGGAAGGCAGCAGGCCCACAAGGAATTCCCCACAAGGCACTGAAAACACACCCAGAGACTGAGGCAGATGTCCTCAGGCCATTATTGCAAAAGGTTGGGAAAGAAAGAAAGCTAACTACCGATTGGAAGGAAGGCTACCTCATCAGGCTGCCAAAGAAGGGCGACTTACACCTTACTCTGCAAGAATTGGCGTAGAATAATACTCTTGTCCACGCCAAGTAAAATAATTAGTTGCATCATCCTGGAGAGAATAAAGGATGCACTGGATGCAGAACTCCACCCCACCGGAACAAGCTCAATTCAGGAAAGGCAAATCATGTGCTTATCAAATTGCAACTCTACGCATCGTCATCACAGAACAAAGTATAGAATGACAGTCAAACCTCTCCCTACCTCAACTTCATCGACTTTGAAGAGGCCTTCACCTGACAGCGTAGACCGAGAAGTAATTTAGAAACTACTTCAACACTACGGCGTGAAGTGCTCAAGTCTTTATCAACCTCATTCAACAGTTGGCTGTGTGACAATGCCACGTGTCAAGTGATTCACAACGGGAAACTCAGTAAGGCGTTGGAAGTGAATACATGATTAAGACGAGGCTGCCTGCCTATTATTACTGATGATATTGTTAATTGTGGTGGACTGGATTATGCGTCAGACTGTGCGTTGGCAGTGAGAAGACAGGAATTCGTTGGACCGATAATAAACACAAGAACACACGAATATAATTAAATTTTCCATAGAAATATTTGCTGATACCGATTTTAGTGATAGGTCATAATTTTTTATCCCTTGCGCTTCGAGTGAAGCATACAGCTTCAAAATCTAAAGTTTCAGTAAGGGTGGTATTATTTTTATGGGTATCCTCGACGACCAGCCTGTCTTTCTATATACACTTACTACTTGCTAAAAGAGGTTTAGGAGTGCATTATGGGGGAGTCGAACCAGAACCTCATGTATAATTTGATCAGCATTCTGTTATTACTGGGCTTCTTTCATTCACCTAATGCAGAGATGTCTGCAATTCTCAAAAACATCTTAGACAGAAAGTCTATTTGACTGTTCTTCTCACGTTGTATTCATTCAGACAAAATTCACGCTTTGGTGTTCAGTCATACATATATATAATGCATAAATGAATAAGTTTCATGTTAGTTTAATGTGTGCATATTTGTTTTATTGCGTATGTAAATATCTATGCGAAACGAAAATATTCTGTATTCATATATATATATATATATATATATATATATATATATATATATCTTGTGTCCTGTATATTAATAATCCAAAGAACGTGCTTATTTTCTCAATTTTCCCCCTATGCCTGTCACTAACTCACGCAGACACACACGTATATATACACGCAAACAAAGAAATATTTATTGTAGTCAATTTGATTAACTAGTTCTTCTAAACACACACTTATCAAAAAAAGTAGTAATGACTTATAATTTCATATTATTCATACTAATATTATTATTACGGTGATTATTATTACTGTTATAATTGTTATTACATGAAACTTCTATGTGAACTGAA